CATCATGTGGCACTGTGATTTCACAAACGCTAAGATTTTATTTTTAAATCAGACTCATATTTTCCTCGGTCTTGGCCAACAGACAGCACATGTCGTCTGCCTCTGAGTCACTGGAGCCCGTCGGAGCTGCTGCATAAGGTTACTGTGTGGCATGATACAATAACATAGTGTTACTAGTTTTACCATCACAGAAAGCATAATTGCCTCCAAGGTGTGTCATCTTTCCTAATGCTTAAAAACATGTCATCCTTCCTGAGTTTGAGCCTTGATCATTCAGAACTGGATTGCAATTGAGTTCAGTGCATAAACTCATTGAATTAGCAAATCCTAGCACACTTCTGTGACAGCACAAAATGGCTCTTGGAGTTTTTTCTGCTCTCTTGGCATCTTCTAATGTAGCGCGGACATGTCATAGGGACTTAGCTCGCCCCCTTTTTCTCAGCATGCAGGAAACAAAATTGCTTGTTGTAATGAGCTCTTTTCCAAAGCTGTCAGCATAAAAAATGTGTGTGTAACTACTACACAAAAATGCTAGCAAAGCATTCTGGAGGCAGTGAACTGCAGACCTCTGAGCATTTGCCCTCACGGGTCATCCAGACGGGAGTCATTTCACACTCTTCTAGCACTTGCAGGATCTTACTGCCAGAAGCAAAGGCAAGTTTTGTAGTTTCTTCAGAGCCTGTGCTGTGAATGGGTCAGTGTTGATGTGCAATTGTGCATTGCTCTGAGGACACAGTCTGGTGAAGAAAATATGTACCTCCTCATTTCCAGCACAGCTTTATCCAGCAGTTGCTACTATCAAATGTCAAGCATCTTTTGGGTTGGAAATATTAATTCTCAGCTTTAATTTGCCCAGTGCCTGAACAGGAAAGGAGGAGAGAAACCCAGCTGTTACAGGAAGCGAATCTGAAGGCTGAGTTAGGAAGTACCAATCCATCTGCATCAGTGCTGAGCTAAGCCCTGATAGTTTCTGGTCATGAAATGTCCAATATGGAAGTGCGAACATTAGAAATAAAGAAGAGGATTGCACTTGCATGCCACAGAGTTGGGCTTGGTAGAAAAACCTGAACAGAACAGATGCAAACTGAACATGATATATACGCACAATAGAGAAACATGACTCGAAAGAGCTGAAAAAGCCCTGGCTATGCGAGTCTGCGGTATTCTGTGACTATTGCTAGGGCATGCAATTAGTGACTTATCCGAGGGATTTTCATTCCTGTGAGCCTTGCTAGTCAGCTTTCATGGATCACTTGTCTACTGAAGCCTGATGGATTTTTTTTTTTTAATTAAATAAATCTGACAATGTCTGTCAGCCCTGAATTCGCTCCAAACCTAAAGGAACAAAAAGCTTCAGCTATGCTACATATCTTATTTAAGCAGACGCTTGGTAAAGAGGAGGAGCGCACAGATAATGAATGCACTCATGAGAATTAGGCAAGTAGTTGCTAGGGAAGTTTGGATAACAATATGTTTAACCCCCACCCTCCCCCCACAACATCTGTTATAAGGTGGGCATGACATGAGACATTTATATACACATACTTCTTCATAGCTCCAAAAATTGATGAGTGCTGCAGCACCTGTTGCCATTTTTGTGTCCAAATCAGCAGAATTTTAATGATGATTTCTGCTACTGCAGTGCAATCTTGAGTCTTGGATCTGGTTTGGGAGGGGCTCTGAGCGAGCAGTGCAGTATACATTCACTTGAATAATTTAAGGAAAAACGTCTTGAAAATGCTGACACTTCACGCAATGGAGACAGAGATATTTTTAACTTTCCCTCTTGGAGCCCTTACAGAGCAACTTCCAAGAAACTACTACAGAGACTCTAGAGGAATAGTTCGCTAGAGCTTATTTTACCTCTAACATGAAAATATCTAACATCTTCCAATGAAGTGAAGACTTGTCTTTGGTTTCTTGAAACGCTATAATTATTTCAGTGACTATGTTGCTCACAAACATCATCTGCAACAGGATTGCCTTGCGTGTGTCAAAATGTGTTGCAAAGAGCACATGCACTAAGGGAGCCCCAGAGAAGCAAGGCTTTGGCTGACTTGCCTGATTTTGGGGTCAGAGCCCAGGTCGTGGCAATTTAAATGCTCTGCTTTTTCATACGCTCAGAGTCATTGAAAAAGATTATACCGGTTCAAAGATATGAGGTGGTTAGAGGCTTATGCTGTTTCAATGACACCTCTTGCTTTAAGGATTTTGAAAGGATCTTGAAAGTTCAAGGGATTTAAGGGATTTTTCAAAAAAATCCATTCAGTTAAATGCAGAACCCTCTGCCCTTCAAAACCGTTCTAACATACTGTAGAGACCCCAGTCCTGGGGAAAACACAGGCCCGTAAAATCTATAAAATGGCTCGTGTGAGTGAAGTTGCACCACGTGTGCTTAGGTGTTTGCTGGATTTGGGTTCATTTAGCAAGAGGCAGGAAACGCACAAGTGGAGGTTTTTCAAAGCACATTCACTCTGCTGCATTTTGTATCTTGTATCATTTTGTGACACACATTTGATGTCCATACAGTTGTGCAGTCTGTGAGCAGTAGTGTTCACACAGCTGGGACCCTGGCTTCTGCGTTTCCTGGCGAGTCCAAGCCTGAAGCTTTCATGTTCTGTAAAGATTTTTTTTTTTTTTTTT